GTCTGGCGGGCGGCCATCACGTCTACGTTTAAGGTTCGTTGACTAGACCGGGATTATTAGAACAAAGACGTTCATTATGCATTTAAATGTATTGGAAATAAATATACTTAGAGTAGCTTGTTCTTGTGAATAATGCATTAGCATTAGTATATTAGTCCTTCTCGAATTAATATCCATTTGAAACACGCACGAAGATCTCTACTGGGTACTTTATTAGTGAGGATTTTGACCCACATAGAATCACACTTTCCTCCAGGACGTTGCACCGAATTATTGAGAGGTATTTCAGTGAGTTGTCCCTCCATCCTAAACTTTGACGAAGTTCGGCCCTGGGTTACTGAGTAAAAGCAGGTTTTAATTGGTTCAATTCTAACACATCCCACTCGCCACCCCTAGTACGAAAGGCCGAAGGTGTTAAATTGCAAAAAATCACAACGCTGAATTCTAGTCTTGCTTTGAAAGTAGTCATTGTTCGACATGTTTAGAAAATTGCTGGTCTAAGATTGAATAAAGGAATTAATGAACTACTTACCCTTCGATAAGTCTTTTCATCAACAGATAGACCTATTTTAAAAGCCATTCGGAACATTAGAAACTATAATAATAATCCGAAAAAAATATCTTTTGGAAATATAATATATATGTTTAGAGAGAAGAGAGAGAGAATACACTTTATTGCACAACAACACAATTTACATTTTTAAAAAAAAACAGTCAAAAAGCACATATGTACAATAGGCGGTCTTATCGCTAAAAGCGATCTCTTCCAGACAACCGTTTAATTTACAGAAATTCTGTAAAATATAAAAAATATAGCAGGTATGTTGCGGTGTACAATATACAATACATTATTATAGAAAATATATACATATAATAAACAGATATATACCGTTTACATAATATAATATATACCAATATACATACTTACATACAATACATACTAATATACTTACACACACATAATAAATCAACAGTATGGAAATTATAAATGATAATGATGCAACAAACAGCACTAAGCAGATAAGTAGTGTTCCTTCACCATTCTTTTAAAATGTTTATTTCAAATTTATATGATTTATCAAACACACTGTGTAGTTATATATTGAAAATTATTATTAAACTCACGAAACTAATTGTAATTGTTAAATAACCGCCATTGTTTTGTTTAAAACAATTACCTCTAGTCATAACAATGTATTTGGTTATGTCTATTTTGCAGTCCATTTGTTTGGTTATTACCATTATTATTTTACATTTTAATCGAGAAATGAATGCAGAACAGAATTAGTGCAGTTTTAAGAAAATCAAATTAATACGTTTCAATCCAAACTTCTTTATCAAGATAATCCACCGATCTCCAAGGAAGGACATGGGTTTTGGGCTCTAAGTTTTTGACGTAAGAGACGCTATTGACAATTATTCATCTATTGCAAACATGCTGGCTGTGTATCTTTTTTTTTTTATTGCTTAGGTGGGTGGACGAGCTCACAGCCCACCTGGTGTTAAGTGGTTACTGAAGCCCATAGACATCTACAACGTAATTGCGCCACCCACCTTGAGATATAAGTTCTAAGGTCTCAGTATAGTTACAACGGCTGCCCCGCTCTTCAAGCCGAAACGCATTACTGCTTCACGGCAGAAATAGGTAGGGTGGTGGGGTGGTACTTACCCGCGCGGACTCACAAGAGGTCCTACCACCAGTAACTATACTTGAGACCTTAGAACTTATATCTCAAGGTGGGAGGCGCATTTAGGTTGTATATGTCTATGGGCTCCAGTAACTACTTGAGCCCAGGTGGACTGTGAGCTCGTCCATCCATCTAAGTAATAAAAAAAAACACGCCCTAGCAAGAGCAGTGCTTCGCAGCTACTACCGGATCGGCAACGCGACCCATTGAGAGGGTCCGGCGAGAAACTCAGTGGGCTGTGTCTATGGGGCTTGAAATATGAGGTCGTAGTTGACCCTGAAGCAAAATCTACCACACTCTTTATTCGCAGTGGAAACATTCAAAGTGATGGATTAATACATAATATGCCATTCAGATCGGCCGTTCGGATTGTCGATAATCCCATTCTCACGGATCGTTTGGAACCTCTGGGTCTGCGGAGGGACCTCGGTTCCGTCTATATTTTGTACCGTATGTTTCATGGGGAGTGCTCTGAGGAATTGTTCGAGATGATACCGTCATCTCATTTTTAACATCAAACCGCCCGTCATCGGAGTAGAGTTCATCCATACTACCTGGAGCCACTGCGGTCATCGTGCGGAGCCACAGTGCGTTTCCAGAGGTCTTTTTTGCCACGTACCATCCGGCTATGGAATGAGCTCCCCTCCATAGTGTTTCCCGAGCGCTATGATATGTCTTTCTTCAAACGAGGCTTGTGGAGAGTATTAAGCAGTAGGCAGCGGCTTGGCGCTGCCCCTGGCATTGCTGAAGTCTATAGGTGACGGTAACTACTCACCATCAGGTATGCTCGTCTGCCTACAAGGGCAATAAAAAAAATATGCCAAATCCCCAATCCTTTTTGCCGGTTTGTCCACCAGGGGACCATGAGATACAATGTATATTTTTCTCGATTCACGCAGTATCGATGCAGATCAGCAGAGCGCTTTGAAAGTTTTTTTTTTTTCGTTGACGGCTGTCCGCCATTGGCTCGTCTCCAACTCAATTTATCTGATAGTTATGTCTTTCAGAATATAACAGTGCAACCGCCATGCAACTACGTCAAGGCTAATTTTGTGTTAGGCTCAATATTTATAAACTTTTCTAGAGTTAGCTGGAAATAATGATTCGAATGTATGCATGCATATTAATATTATAAATGTAAGAGTCTGTTCGTTTGTTTGTGTGTTTGTTTCTCCTTATCTGACATCGAAACGAAGCAAAGGATTGACATTTTTTTTTTTTAATATTGATTTTAGGTCTGGATTCTGAAATCTACCCTTTATAATGAGAAAAACATCTCGTTCCTAACCGCTTAACAACAGGCGGGCTGCGAGTTCATCCACCCATCTAAGCAATTAATAAAAAAGCTGTATATTAAAATGAATACGTTTGAATAGACTCTTAAGCTCTCGATAGTGGCTTAGTGATTCGGGTAGTGCTGACGTCTATAAACCACTTTGACCACTTGCCATTTGGCTTCACAAACATCTATATATTAATACGTGAAGCAAAAACTTTGTATCCCTTTTTACGAAAATTGCGCAGACGGAGGAGTATGAAATTTTCCACACTTATAGAGAATACAGAGAAGAAGTGCAAAATGCTAATATTTTTTTTTAAATAATGCATAAACGATACATTAAATCATAAAAGAAAACATTACATACACTACATACCATGTATTTGACGCACACACGCATGCATACTATTTATTGTCAAACTTTTGTTTTTGACGTCTGTTGTCAAATTGAGATTAAATATTGTTTGTCTTTGTTAATATTTTTCTATAGTGTGTAGTCTTGGCGAAATTTGTGATTATAGAAGTATAAAATACAATCATAACCGTGTACAAACTTACAATTCCCATTAATTATTGTCGAATTTCGACTACTGCGGGACCTCTAGTTGTCAATAAAAAGCTGATCGAAAACAAACGAATACCACGGAATTCCCATTTTAAAATACAGGTGTGCATTGAAACTCAAATAAATAAACATTACCCGTAAAGAACGTTTAAGAAATCAAAACATTTTCTACATAAAAAAAAGTGTATATTAGTTGTCTGGTTAGTGTAACCCGTGCGCTACGAACCACGTATGGCATTGCCCTTTAGTGCGTTAGATAAATTAAAATAGATATGGAGTTTGTGATGTAATTAGGTACGATTGAATTTACACGTCATTTCGAGTCCACCCGATCCACTAACTATGCTTTTAGTTACCCCAAGCACCGGTCATCATTCTCGTCGAACCCGTCGCTTACGACGAAGGGCTCGTCGAGTAAATTAACACACAGACTCAGATCACTGAGTTTCTCGTCGGATCTTCTCAGTGGGTCGCGTTTCCGATCCGGTGATAGATTCTGCGAAGCTCTGCTCTTGCTATGGTCAGTGTTATCAATTCTCTCAGGTTGAGTCCCGTAGTGTGGGTAGGCCTCCCAAAAAATGGACCAACGATCTATTGAGATCCGCGGGGATCCGCTGGATGCAAGCAGCGCAGGATCAATCTTTGTGGCGAGGCTTGGGGGAGACCTATGTCCAGCAGTGGACGTCCGTGGGCTGATAGAATAGAATAGAGCCCCGTAAATTTATCTACCAGTCCAGGCGTAGTTGGAATAGCCCCTTAAGCCACCAACGTTTAGATAGTCATTTTCATTACATTTTCCACAAACGCTTCGAATATTTTACGGTCACGGATGACGTTGTTATTTGCTCGACATTCGCATACGCTTCCAAAGACCGCCAATTCTTTTTTGATGTCATAACATTTTGAATACGTTTTTTTTAACATTTTATAAATAAATGTAGATTGTTATAAGTGTTAAGCAGAAAGGTAAAGTATTAGAAACGTCGGAAATAATAAAGTGAAAATGATAAAAGCGATATTAAATCGCGAGGGTTCTTTTAATTGTGACTTTGTTGTTGTTGACTTGTTATGTCTTTATACATTATATTAAATATACTTTATGCCTTTATACTTTACTTACACTTGTGTCTTTGTATACAAATGAAAATACTTAGTTTCAGACCGATAGAGATAGATATATTAGCTCTAGCGGTTAATATAATACTAACTATATTGATTATGTGGGATTTGATCATTCTTAATTATTTATTTGCTTTGTTTAAATAATATTACGACAATCATTCTCTTCATCGATGACTGAATAGGTATACTATACTATAAACTGGTTATAATTTATGTAAAATTAACTTTGTTTTTTTGGAAGACATGACTCAAATGTTTTTTTTAAATAGGATATTATACCTAGTAACTTTCATTTCAGAATTATATTAAAACATGATTTTTTAACGTGCGTTTTGTATTGTTGCAGCGATGCGTATGGTGGCGTGACCCCGGGTTGAGACTCATCAATCCGCCGAGATGTCGCAGCCGCCGCCGGGGCGAGGACGCGCTCGGGCCCCTTCATCTCCCCTCAACTACCGTCCCCCCTCGCCATGGGCTCCCAGTCCCCCGCCCATCATCTCGGGTCCACGGCACCCCGCTGCCATCGTGACGCCTCCGCCGGTCCACCCGTCCCCGAAGCCGTTCCGTCCGCTCCACTCCCCCCACAATCTGCGACAGCACTCGCCGTCCCCCAGCTCGCATTTCTCGATATCCCCCTACCCGATGTCCCCCACGCTGGGACAGAGTCCGGAATATTATTATTCTTCGCCTTACGAAGGCGTTCGCGAGTTCGAATACGCGGGAGGACCGGAACTTCCTCCGCCTCCTCGTCCGATGATTTACGAGGAGGACGAAGAGGACCGGGGTCCGTCCACTGCGGAGATNCAGCACTCGCCGTCCCCCAGCTCGCATTTCTCGATATCCCCCTACCCGATGTCCCCCACGCTGGGACAGAGTCCGGAATATTATTATTCTTCGCCTTACGAAGGCGTTCGCGAGTTCGAATACGCGGGAGGACCGGAACTTCCTCCGCCTCCTCGTCCGATGATTTACGAGGAGGACGAAGAGGACCGGGGTCCGTCCACTGCGGAGATCATTGCCCAGCAGTCGCAAGAAGGATACGTTGATGAGAAGCTAGCCGAGTATCAAGCGACGATTCAGCTATTGCAAGGTGAGTTTAGAAACTTAAACTGCTTGATTTACGATGAGATTGAAAGTAGAAATTTTCAGAAATATAAGGGTGCAATAGTTTTTTTAAACGAGCTATTCATGCGAATTCTTTTTACGAACACACTACATTGAGGTATATTTTTATCTTATTGGTTCTAGGGAACAAACTACAGGGCAAATGTTGTCCAACTATGACATTCTATGTCAGTCCCTAACCTATGCACTTCAATCCGCAAACTCTCGTGTAAGATAAGTAAATTTATTTAGAATTCTTCACAGTTTGTTAACGATTGCCACAGTTGGTCTTAGTTGACCCGATTTTGAAGTCTATAATTAAATTTGAATCTAGGCTATCGTCAGTTTAGTATTTGAATGAATGGATGTCTCGTGTGCCAATAATTTAGCAGTTTCTTGGTATCTCTCGGGTATCTAAACGGGTAACTGTATGTTACTGCGAGTAACGTTCTCGATAGCGTAAAAGTTAACTCAAACTTGTATGGAGTTGGAACGTTTGCCGCTAGGGTTGTTGTTCCAACTGCGTTACCACCGGTTTTTTTTGGGCCTTATGTACCATACGGTTTTGATACGATGGGATTTTTCGCACTCTCCCGTGTAACTTTCTCATTGTGGCATTTGATCCCGCTTAAATGCGTTCTACCTTACACTGTGGAACATTCTCGAACCTTCGAACGATGACATTTCTAGTATGAACTGAATCGATCTTTAGATAAGGTCAACAGGAAAGGATCACGTGGTCAATCACTCACTTGCTCAGCAGATCAACTAAAGTCCTTCATAGTGCCTTTGGCCATAAAGTAGACCGAGGACAGAGAGATACGTGCAGGGAAATTCATCAAAGAAGATGCAAGAAATCTTGAAATTATTCGCGATTCATCTTTCCGTTAGATCAATTCTACTGTAAAACTATAATTTTGGCAACATGCGCACGATGCATCAATTATTGCAACAAATGAGTTGAATTGAGAAAATTAGCTTGTTACATCACTGTCTCCGTAAGTTTGCCAAAAGATTTTACTGCGCTTGAATGTAAACAAATGGATGCACAACATAAATTTATATCGTCATAGGATTACTCATTGCTCCGATTTGTTCACGCGGTCACTTTTATTCTGATTCACTGATTGATTACAAGCCAGATATCGTTATAGTATAATGTCACGTCCTTACGGATCCATCAAATCCAATAACCTTTGCGTTAGACGACTTCAGCTCTAATGCTTACGCACCCCGGGAACCCTAACGAGTAACCTAACCCATATCAGCCCCCTAAATTTCTCGCCGGATCTTCTCAGCAGGTCGCGATTCCGATCCGGTTGTAGATTCATTCTCGAAGCAGCTGCTCTCGAGTTATTAGGTCTCCTTGGGAGGCACTCGGGCAGTTGTTACCTAATCCCACCCCTCTTGGTTGAGCCTTTGCTTGCCCACCTGTCCTGGTGAAACAGGAAAGGCCTCCGGACCACCAGTAAGCCGTCAATCATAAAAAGATAATATACATTTTTTTGCGTTACTATCAAACCTAAAGGCCTTAAATTTTAAGTAAGACCCGGTTGACTCGTATCCAATATTGCTACAACGCATGTTTTCATGTCATATTGCAAGTACCAATTAATCTAAATTTAAACGTACCTAACCCGATTGCATTTGCAATGCTCGCCTTATTTTCTGCGATTTGGAGGGTAGGACAACCGTATTGCAATACGATTAAGATTTGGAATCCGTATCTCAATTAAGGCACATCATACTTCTTCTTCTTCCTAGCGTTTTTTGGTCTAGTGCCAGGGTCCGCTTTTCTACTTAAGCTCCTCCACTTTGCCCGGTCTTCGACATCCTTCTGGGTGAGGTTACTCTCCACCATCTCCTCCTTCATACTAAGACCGGTAGGCAGCGGCTTGTCTCTGCCCCTGGTATTGCTGAAGTCCATGGGCGACGGTAACCACTCACCATCAGGTGGGCCGTGCGCTCGTCTGCCTACCAGGGCAATAAAAAAAAACGATCACGTTCCTTTTTTTTATCAAAACATTGTAAAAATGAGTGGGTAGTGTTCGTGTTACGAGTATGTGCGCCGGAATTCACTTAAGACAAGCCAGGGATCTATTTCGCTTTCATAATTAAATCATAAAAAATTTGGAATTAAATGAAAGCTATATACAGAACGATTACCGATCAAACGTTGATTTAAAACGAAATACGGAAGTTCCGAGTCGTGCTTTCGTAAGCATCGCGTGTTGGAAGCACAATGGGAACTCGTAAAAATGAACGAGAAATAAAGAACAACAAGTCCAATTGTTTCGGGAATATTATTCTTTTGTTTGCTTAAGTTTTTTTTTTCATAATACCCACGTTCAACCCTCAACTTAAAACGTGACGCGGTAATGTAAATCGAAACCCCAAAAGTACGGTGAACGAAAAATGATCTTTTTACTGGTGGTAGGACCTCTTGTGAGTCCGCGCGGGTCGGTACCACCACCCTGCCTATTTCTGCCGTGAAGCAGTAATGCGTTTCGGCTTGAAAGGTGGGGCAGCCGTTGTAACTATACTTGAGACCTTAGAACTTATATCTTAAGGTGGGTGGCGCATTTACGTCGTAGATGTCATTGGGCTCCAGTAACCACTTAACATCAAGTGGGCTGTGAGCTCGTCCACCCATCTAAGCAATTAAAAATTTTTTTTTACAATATCGAACTGCGCAGTTATTATTGTCAAAATTTACACACCAACATTACATCGACTGAAAGCTACCTCAGTACGTACGCCATTTGAGGTGAACACTTTTTTCCTACCTAAGCCAATAATAGCCTTGAGAGGCTATTTCAGCGTAACCTTAACAAGTAGGTGAGCCCATGGGGCTCAAACCTGACGACGTTGCTACACGAACCCTAGCAGGACCCACTGAGAAGATCCGGCGAGAAACTCAGTGGGCTGTGTCTGTGGGTTAATTTACTCGTCGAGCCCTTCGTCGCATGCAACGGGTTCGACGAGAACGATCACCGGTGCTTGAGGTACCTAAAAGCACTGTTAGTGGATCGGGAGGATCCGTGTTTTGGGCGACGGCGACTGCTTTCCATTCTGTCCGCAGGATCGGGAATGGAGGTGAACACAAAAACATAGCTCCCACACACATCATGATCATCCATACATATGTCACACGTTAACCATTACGCTGTTCACCTTGACGTGAAAAAAATGCTATTGCGTAATTTAATAAATAAATTATGAATGTTTCATTAAATTAGTGGTATGTTGATCTTTGGTGGCTTATTGCAGTAATGGCTAATAAATCCGCAGAGCGAGGACGCGCGGTTGCTTCGCTGCGGAAATGGGGTTTCAGGCCAAATTCAGTGGCGTCTCGATTCAACGTATATTTAAACTTCTTTCTTACTTTGATTTCTTATCTATTAGCATGTATATGTAACCGCTATGCCTTAGAATCTCTTTTGAATTTTGAGGAGAGTCACAGTTGTTCAAAATGGGCAGGAAGTTTTGTGAAATCTCTACATAGTCTATATCTATACTTCTATACTAATATTATAAAGAGGAAAGATTTGTTTGTTTGTTTGTTTCGAATAGGCTCCGAAACTACTGGACCGATTTGAAAAATTCTTTTTCCATTAGAAGCGGACATTGTCCCTGATGAATATAGGCTACTTCTTTAAATTTTTTTTTATTTTTATTTTTTTTGCTTTCATGTGTGTTTCATGTTTCCGAAGCGAAGCGAGGGCGGGTCGCTAGTATCAAATAAAGTCGGTCTGTTTCTTGAATTACTTTTTCTGAAAAAAAGCGACCGAATTTTATACGGTTTTCAATAATAGAAAGAACGATGAACTGGGAACGTATTAGTGTATGATTTCTAAATAATTTTTTTTCAAAATAATCGAAGTGTGATTGTGTTATGTGAAAGAAACTCTTTTTGTCTAATTTCACGTTTTTGTTGTTGTTGAGTTGGATGGTCAAGCTTAAGGCCCATCTGGTGTTAATTGGGTACTGGAGCCCACAGACATCAACAACGTAAATGCGGCCACTCATCTTGAGACATGAGTTCGAAGTCTCAGTTCTACAATACAATGGCTGTCTCACGCTTCAAACCGAACTGCATTACTGCTTCACGGCAGAAATAGACAGGACGGTAGTACCTAGCCTGGCGAGCTTAGAACACGTTCTACCGCCAGTAGATAATTAATCTATATATATAAAAATGAATTGCTGTTCGTTAGTCTCGCTAAAACTCGAGAACAGTTGGACCGATTTGGCTAGTTTTCGTCTTGAATTATTTGTGGAAGTCCAGAGAAGGTTTAAAAGGTAGATAAATATGAAAATTCTCGGAACATAAATAAAAATAACAATTTTGTTTTTCCTATGATGTGTCCCCCGTCGGACGGATTCCCTTTGTTTGTTTTAAGTTTATTTTACACAAAAGCTTAGGTCTTTTATTTATCGATTGAGGCACAACGAAGTCTGCCGGATCAGCTATTTTATAATATATTTGTTCCATAAACACTCCGAAACGACTAGATCGATATTGATGGAATTTTCAGCAAATCCTCAAATTAGCCCTTTGATAAAGTGAAATCAACGATCCGCCGGCAAAGCATTTGAATAGCACTTCATAAACAGAAACAAGAACATATATTAAAAAGAATTTAGTTCACCCATGTTTTTTATTTCAGTGTTCACATACAAAGAAAGTTTGAAATTTATGATACATACTGCATGTGAAGCTAAAAACAGTCATTAATTATACCAGATTAAGCGTTTTTTTTTTGTAAACCTTTCGAAATAATTCACATTCAAGTCTCAAGAGGAAAATATTTCTAGACTTTTATAAATAAATACATTTTTAGAATTGCAATAGTTGTTAGTCTGTAATTAATTGAGGTCAATAAACGTTAGAGCCGTTGGCAAAAGTTTCGAGATGATATTTTTAGTTTTACATTCGATCTTTTCAGAGAATAACAAAAATTCATTCTGATGCAACAATAATTA